TTGGGAGTTGGATGTCAGGATATCTACATACAACAACCAAAAGGGTTTATAGCAAATGAGTAGGAACACACGGTATGCAAGTTGTGAAAGTCTATTTCATAGACTTAAGCAAGCATCCAGGTCTTGAAACATCAGTTTTGATCAGGTTATCAAAATTTTGATTTTGAGAGAATCTTGATGAATGATGTGTATTTGTATGTAAAGGATACAACAGAAGACAGTAGCTTTTCTGGTACTTTATGTAGATGATATGCTCCTTATTAGAAACAATGTGGAGGTAATATCAAGCATAAAGAGTTGGCTAAGTTAGTGTTTTGGTATGGAAGTACTGTGGAAGCCAATTATATTCTTGGTATAAAACTCTTATGAGGCCGGAAGAATAAGTTGTTGGCATCACCTCAGGCTACTTACATTGTCAAAACTCTTGCCAAAATTCAACATGAGAATTCTAAGAGAAGAATTAAAATTCTCAGATGTGGAATTCATCTTCCTAAGGAGTAACCAAAGACTCCTGAGAAGGAAGAATGCATGAGCAAGATATCTTATGTTTTGGCAAAGGTAGACTCACGCATATCATGTTGGGCGTTAAACCAGACATCTGTCATGTAGTGGGAGTAGTGAGATAGTACCATTTTGAACCTAGAGGAATACTAGATTATTGTTAAGCATGTACTCAAGTATCTTTGGAGAACGAGAGATTATATGCTGGTATATTCTAGTAAGAGTCTTGAAAAGCTGAGTTTTCAAAAATTCAGTTATTTCAAGTGGATATTGACTCAAGAAAATCAACCTCGAGCTATGAGTTTTTTCACTAAACTCAGATAGCATTAGAGGTGGATCTTGCAGACCCAGTTACTAAGAGTTTGCCTGAATTTGTGTTCGAGAGGCATGTTACTTCTTTGGGTCTTAGGAGGATCCCAGACTTGCATTAAGCAAGTGGGAGTTATTGGTTTCATTGCGCTCTTGGAGTAATACGATGAAACAATAAAATAATTTTCTGAATTTCATAAATAAGGTTTTATTTATTTATTTTGCGCACTATTTACAAACATAAAGGTCCGGATCAAATTGTGGAGTATATGATCATATGGATACGTTCATGGAGGACATGATCATAGGTTCTCACAATTGATGAATGGAGTCACAGCCGTTAAATAAAGTTGGGCACTTTATTCAGGCTGCAATATTTTATGAAATGATTTTGTCCGAATCATTGTAAAATATTGATGTGAATTAACATTCGCATTGAAAGGATCAAGGAGAGATTTGATTAAGGTTGTTCTTTCTGTCATAAGGAATCAAATTTCCAGTTAACTATAGTTATGTGATTGCTCTTAATCCTGAGTTTATTATAAATAGGTAATCAAATAGTTTTCATTCTTTGATTTACCAACGGGTGAGGTCCGATATTTTGACGGCCAATAACTCGGTGTTTTGGGAGTGAGATTATTTGATTATCAGTATTTATGAGATAAACAACAAGGAATTTATAGGAAATGTCCCCTTGATATATTTCGGTACTTGGATATTAAACACACTGGCCAGTGCATGTAATCCATTAGAGAAATTATCAAAGTCAAGGGAATAAATAATTGATTGGGTTACAGAAAACTAATCAATGAATTATAGACATTCTATAAAGGGGCAATGCATATTAATGTTATAAAGGTCATTAATCTTGGAGTTCACGTTCGGGCTTTTAGTGGAGTAGCGCCGAATTAGATAATCTTGTAAAGATTATCAGGAGCCTTGATCAATGACAAATGGTAGGTCCCCAGGCTAGCTCGAGACAAGGGATGGGGTATATTATCAGATGATGATAGCTTATGGGCTACATGGTCTTGGGTTTACGAACTCAAGTTTGTATCTTAAAGAGCAAGTGGGAGATTGTTGGATATATGCTCTTTTGGTCACTAAAGTCCTATTGGGCTTCAGTGAAACTTGAGCCCATGAGGCTTAGGGTTGAGTTATGTCTAAGACCTAAGCGTATATATTCATAGTTTTCTCCTCTTGTGCCTCCAAGGTGAACAGATCATCAGAAACAAACCAAAGAGGCAGACGTTCATCATCTGAACGAGTGCCCACACACTTCCCCTTCCTCCTCGAGAGATAGTTTGGAAGATCTGCCACAGTCCAGCTTCAAGGAGGTTGTTCGTGCTGCGGCGCTGAGGTGAGCTGTTCGTGAAGAGGAATCCTACAAGGGAAGATTCTACACGAGACCTGCGCACCGAGAGGTAATTGTGAAACAAGGATGATTCGGTAAGCATACCAATGTACTAGGTCCTAAACCGCTTCCGCATAAATCTAAGATTTCCTACAAAATCATCATGTCCTTTTGCTTAATACTGCTAAATATTACTTAATTTTTCCAATTTTGCCCGGTTATCATATCTCTTAGAAGGTGTTCGGTAGAAGAGAAAAAAAAAATTTATTCGAAAAATAATTATTATCAGAATGTAGGGAAAATATATTTTTACTAAAATGTTATTAAAAGGGGTTTGGTATGACAAAATTTTCCCGGGAATCTATGGTTAAATTCACTGAGTGTGTGTTTGGTTGATTGTTAAATATTAATGAGAATGTAAGGTTATTTTACAAAAATAACCCCACATTTACCAAACGTATGAAACCATGGTAAGATCTTTTGCTTCAGCCTTCTGCAGATTACTTTGACTTCCACCAACTACAGAGGATACTGTACAGAAAAAAATTGGAAACAACTTAGAACAACTTCCATTCTCCAAATCCTCCAAACAAGCTTCATGCATGCTGCCGATATTGCAACATCAGCCTATGGTAAGCAGGGTAAAGCTCCAAGCTTGGACGCCAAGAGTAGATCTTCTTCCAAACACATGCGACCAACTAGAGGGACGAACCAAAAGCTATGGTTAGTGTCGTACAATTAACAAAGATAATTTGGTCTACATCTTCGTGCGTCTTCTTCCACTTGCTTGGGCAGCAAATTTTTTCATATAATCTATGAAATTTTTCAGATGGGGGCCGTACTGATTTTTTCGAACAAGACCAATTTCTTGGAAACTTTTTGAGTCTAGAAAGTTGATCATTTTAAGCTACCAAATGTAGCATTCGTATTAGTCCGACCATCATTTCCCGAGAACTAAAATATATTCTTGCTACCAAACACGTCGTTAAGGATTTGCCACGTCCAAGGCATAAAAGGGACATTTATCTGAACTAGCTTATTCAAATGGACATTTTTGGCTATCTATTTAATAATAATTATTGTCAATTTCGGCGGTCTACCTGAACTAACTTATTAAAATTGGACATTTTCTTCTTAGTTAACAGCTAATATTAATTCTACGCAGCACCTCAATCATTTATTTCTATACACGTTTATTGAGTTATATTCCAAAGCAAGATATAATTCACAAATGGACAAATATAACCTGCTCAATTTGTTGCAAATGGACATAAAAATAAACTTTTAATGTTCGTTTAATAGTATTAAGCAAAAGGAAACAGTATTTTTTCTTTTACAAATCATAGATATGTAATAAAAAAAATTACAAGAAGATAGGTGATTGTGAAGTAAAATCACAAGAGTATTAGTGAACTTTTTTCTAAAAAGAAACATGAATAAAATATATTAAACAGATAATGGTGCAGCTAAAGAGATTTTGTTAGTGTATAAAAAAAAAGAGATTTTGTTAATTGCGACCAAGAAAATTGTATTTGTTAATTGTTATGCAACATGCATTCTAAATTTTGTTTTTGCTGAAAATTTGTGTGGCGGGATAGTATTTTATTTGGCAAACGATGCATCCGCTGATAAAGAAAAAAGGAGTGAATGGGAATGGGGGAGGTGTCCGTGTGAGTCGCCTCAGCTTCAAAGCTGGGTGTAATGTAACTTGCGTCACTATGACTCTGTTTGAGTGTGTGAGAGAGAGAAATTAAATGCATTACTTTTGCGTTTCCACTACGAAGTGCACGTTTGAACCATTCCTCCTCCTCATTCCTCATTACTCAACGCTCGTGTGCCCGTTTCTTTCTCGCACATTAATTAATTAATGTGCTTCTTATACCCCCACGCGCTATTCTCACACCATTCTGAATCCAGGACAGACAATAATAATAATAATAAGAATTTGATATTTGTCATTTTTTAGTAGAAATTTATTTTTATTATTTTAAATAACATAAGTTATATCATTTTAAATAACATAAGATATATAATTTTAATAATAATAATAATAATAAAATACCAAATTACCAACATTGGTGCCAGCCACCTACAAAGCACGGACTCGGTAAATTTTTTGAATAATGCGTGTCGGACATGTGTCCGACACGGACACGCTTCGATACGAAAAATTATTTAAATCAATTTTTTTTGCTATGAATTTTGATATGAAAAATTAACAAGTACTAAAAATTATTTTTTTTATATTTATGTTATAAAATTTGAATATTTGATTGGTTATATGACTTATTATGAACTGTTATACGTATTAAATATAAATTATATTATATATATTAAAAATATTATTTAATATCAAAATGTGTCCTAACATATTAAAATATACCATTTTTTAAAATTAACATGTCGACGTGTTGTGTCGTATCCCGCGTGAGTGTGCATACATTGTAACCAAGCCACAGCCATTTGACAAATTGTTGATGAGGCGCGAATTTCAGTTATATCATAACAAATTACCAATATTTGCAGAACTAATGAGTGGGAGAGACGCTATCACATGGCGCGTGGGGATGATCCATGGTTTATAGTACTGAACGGCCATGCATGCCGAATACGCTCACTAATATTTCTCTCTCTCTCTCTTTCTCTGTGGTTGGCTCATTTCATATCATTTGATATCACACACTTTCTTCGTTCTCTGTCTCTTTCTCACTGACCTCACCCAAATTTTCCTTCTCTTTCATTTTTTTCTCTCAATCAAGAAACAAGAATCCCCGGCGGTCACACCTTTTCTTTCTTTCTCTACTCCAACTAGAAGCACCTGTGATCACATTGTTCAATGGCGGTTTCTACGACGGTCGCCGCCGCTTCGGCGTCTCTTTACGTCGGCGACCTCCACCCCGACGTCACCGAAGGCCAGCTGAAGGACGCGTTCTCCGATTGCATTGGCCGTGATTCCGTTCGCCTTTGCAAGGACACGGCAACCGGCAGGTCCCTCTGTTATGGCTATGTCAACTTCGTTTCTCATCAAGACGGTGAATCTTTACCTTTCTTGCTTTTCTTTTCTTATCGTTCTTTCTGTTTCTTTAGGTTTGTTCTTTCTGTTTCTTTAGGTTTTAATTGTTTCATATCTTACAATGTAAAATGATGAAGCTTAGTATGCTCGATCTTAATTGTTGTTTTGTTCGATTTCCAAGAAGATAAGTTGTAATAAATCTAATGATATGATGAAAATTGAAGAAAGAGAGAGGGAGAGAAATGTATTGATCGAGATCTGAGTATGTTTACTTTGATAATGTTGTCTGGTTCCACTTACCATAATTTTGTTTTGTTCTCTCTGGTTTTGATCGAGTAGCGATTCGTGCAATCGAGTTGAAGAATAATTCTATGCTGAATGGAAAAGCGATGAGGGTCATGTGGTCGCGTCGTGATCCTGATGCAAGGAAAAGTAACATAGGGAACGTGTTTGTCAAGGTATCTACGGCTTTGATTTGGAATAGTTAAACCATTTTTTAGTTCATTATTATTATTATTATTTCTGAAGGTTCTTATGGAGAGTTTCTGGTGTCGTGGCAGAACTTAGCTGAATCAATACACAATGCGGCACTACAAGATTTATTTAAAAAATATGGGAATATTGTGTCCAGCAAAGTTGTCATCTCTGAGGATGGGAAGAGCAAAGGATATGGCTTTGTTCAATTTGAATCAGAGGAATCTGCAAATACTGCCATCGAGAAGCTGAATGGCTCTACTATTGGTGATAAGCAGATGTATGCTGCTTCTTAGTAAATTTGCTAAAAAATTTCATCGTCCATATATGTTTATGCTGTATTCAATTTCTGTACACCTATTATTTACCGAGATTGATTTTAATCTGATTATAATTCTTGTCACAGATATGTTGGCAAGTTTGTCAAAAAGTGTGACCGCATATTGCCTGGCCCTGATGCCAGATATACAAACTTGTACGTGAAGAATTTGGACCCAGATATTACAGAAGCACTTCTGCAGGAAAAGTTTTCCCCTTTTGGCAAAATTGTTAGCTTGGCTATTGCAAAGGACAACAACGGGATGTCAAAGGGTTTTGGCTTCGTGAACTATGACAACCCAGATGATGCTAAAAGGGCGATGGAAGCAACAAGTGGATCACAATTTGGTAGTTTATCTATCCTTTTACTGTGTAGGTTTGAAATTTCTTGATGTTCATCCTGTATATTATCTGGTTTTGATTTGTCATAAACAGGTTCAAAGATTCTGTATGTAGCCAGGGCACAAAAGAAGGCTGAGCGTGAGCAGATCTTGCACCATCAATTTGAGGAGAAACGTAAGGAACAAATCTTGAAATATAAGGTAATTTCTTTACCATTCTGCTGCATTTAACTTGCCATTTTCTTTTTGTTTGTCATAGAATGTCATCATTTAACTTTCAGGGATCAAACGTTTATGTGAAGAACATTGATGACAATGTTAGTGATGAAGAAATGCGAGATCATTTTAGTGCATGTGGCACAATTACTTCTGCAAAAATTATGCGAGATGACAAAGGGATAAGCAAAGGGTTTGGTTTTGTCTGCTTCTCCACTCCTGAGGAGGCCAATAAAGCTGTGAACACTTTTCATGGTATGTGACTTAAGTTTTTGATACTTGATAGGACTTTGATGTGTTCGTACATACTTCAGTGTTTAGGTTGGCTTCCTAGCAGTAATATGAAATAGGAATACAAATGCTTGCTAGAAGTTCCAATAAAGAATGTAACATTTGCATGGTTTACTTATTGGATTACAATTTGAGAGATTAGATATATTTTACATGATATTTTCCCATTTTTCATCATGTATCTTATCCATCAAACTCTCTTTATGTGTTATGCACATGTCTTTATTTTTATATCATGGTGTTAAAAAGGTCTAAGGTCAATATTGACGAAAATAAAACTTTGGTAATTTTTTCCTCTTCTTATTCTTCATCTTATTCCATGGGGTTTGATCATCACAAACAAAAGACTAGTAGAGGGGCTGCTCTAAGTGTCCTTTATCATTGCAAGGGTTCCTTTCCATAGTTTAATGAGTTTTTATTTTATTATTCTTTCAAAGAAATTTAAGAGAATGTTACTAGTAGCCATTGGGTTTATGATAATGACACAATCGATTCTGCATGTTCATGCAAATAAAGGATATCCATACATATGAAACAATATTTTGTCATATATATAGCTTTTTGTATATTGGTTTCTGTCTAATGTTCTACTTCTAATCTTTACAATTTGCATATTGCCTCTTTAAAGCTTTTCTTAGTGAAGATTTTATAAAAATTTATGTAAATGACATTTACATTTAGCAACATTTTGTCTGCAATGCCTTCATTGTTTTTGAATTTTTGATTATGTTTAAGTTGATGTCATATGCCACAGGATTCATGTTTCATCGCAAACCACTATATGTTGCTCTTGCTCAGAGGAAAGAGGATAGGCAAGCACAGTTGCAGCTCCAGTACGCACAGCAAATAGCAGGACTATCTGGACCTTCAACTACCATTATCCCTGGTGGATATCCTCCTTACTACTATGCAGCTACTGGTGTTGTTTCACATGGGCCTCCTCGTGCTGGGCTGATGTATCAACCTCTGGCAATGAGGACGGGATGGAGGGCTAATGGCTTTGCACCTCCTGCTAGACCATTTCAACAATCACCAGCTCCTGTTGTGAGTAACAACTTTGTTTAGGAACCGAAGAAATGCCTGTGTTTCATTAACTTTTTCCATATTTTTTTATAAGGACTTTTGGGAAAATTATAAAAAGGGAACGACCTGAAAAGTTTTTACCATGAAGGAACTAAATAGCCACATTTTATTTGGGAAAACTAGTCCTGTTTTCAATTGTAATTCTAATGAACGAAAGGTTGCTGCTCTTTATAACCGAAAGGTGATGGGTTCATTTCTGGGAGCCTTGATTTTCCCTTTTTTATTTATAGATAATGTCTTTCATTCACAGGTTTCTAACAATACAAGGCAGCATAGGCAAAACCGGGGCAGGATGAATGGGCATACAATTTCTCAGGGAAATAATCATTCTGGTACCCAGCAGAATTCTCAGTCAGTGATCTCGTCAAGAGAGTCAAATACTCAGCAGGTTTGCTTTGTTTTTTTTTTTTTTAGCTTCCCTCATTTAGAGAACATGATTCCTAGTATGTCACATTTCTATTCGGAGTAATAAATGCTTATGCAGTGCACATTCGCTGCACTACTATCCGGTCTTATGGTGGTGCCAGTGCCACTTGTTTCATTGGACAACACTTTTGAAATGCTCTTAAAATATTCAGAAACAGAACTTGAAATCAGGACTAGTAAAATTTTTTTTTTGCTGTAGTCTTCAATATAAAACAATATAAGATGGTTGGATTTTATTTCGAAGTGTTTTTAATCCCTTTCTGTATATGTATTTCCTAGCTCTGATTACTTAAGTTGCTATCCTTTGCAGCGAACAGGACAGGCTAAGTACGTACCTAGTGGACGCCTACGTGAGATGGAAAAAGGATCTGGATTCTCATCTGCTGGTTCTAACTCTGGTGGTGGATCCCAGGGATTAGAAATGCTGCATAGCATGCTTGCTTCTGCTACTCCTCAGCTTCAGAAAGATATACTCGGCGAGCATATTTACTTGATTGTAGAGAAACTCAAGGTTTAACAATGCACTATTCTCTTTTGTTTTTAGTATTCAAGGTTATGTTTTTGAATTCTTAAGTATAATTACTATGTTATCTTGAGCAGCCTAGCCTATCAAGAAAGATTACAGGGATGCTTTTGGAGATGGACAATGACGAATTGCTGGTTCTCCTGGAATCACCCGAGTCTCTTTCTGCTAAGGTGGAAGAAGCTGTGCAAGTGCTCAAGAACTCAAAGACAAAAGTTTCTGGCCAGGATGTACTTCATTCAAATTACCTTTCAGCTGGTGTAGCAGTGAGCTGAAGACTTTAAACATGAAGATGGTTCTTGATTGAAGCCTCCAAGAACGCAGAAATTTGATACATGAGTTTTGATCCATGATTACCTTGCAGTATATTTCATTGTGAAAAAGAACTTTTTACTTTCCTTAGGTGATAAGATTTGGTAGCGATGGTAAGATTCGAGACAAATTAGTTCTGCATTTTGATTACGTTGATTAACTTCTGTGAATTTGGTTCAGTATTTTTCATTTCACATTCATATGATCCAGTAATATCTTTGATTAATGCCCTCTTTGTTTCTTAGTTCTTTTTTTTTTTTTAGAATTAGAGAATAAGTTTGAAGTCAGCCTCCGTGAAATTAGGAATTTAACCCAGGCTTCAATGGAATTTTAACATGCATGGGTACTTTCTGTTATATAAAACACATGTACACAATTCTGAAACGAATAATATAAAACCACATCAGATTACATTGGTACAGTTTTTATAATTTAATCACAGTGGTAGTATCATTTATTTTTTGCACTCAGCATTCTCAGCTACCAACTACCTCTAATGTGAAATGCGTGCCCTTGGCTATGTGAAGAAAACGTTATTCTTCTTAATTCGAAACTTTTATCAAAATCATAATTTAGCAAAAAAGTTTAAGCGATGTAGATTGGGTTATTAGTTTTATCATTTAATTTAGGATTTTTAATTTTGTAATTAGGGTTTTATTGATTTGGGATCCCAACCTTTGTTAGTTGCTTAGATTTCTTAGATTGGCTACCTCAAATTGAGGATTGCTTTTTTTCTTTTCCCTTCCGATCCATATATATGAGCCTGTAGATAGTCGAATTGTGATGAAACGGAAAATACAGGATAAATATTTCCCTAGCTAACATAGAAACTATTTCAAGCATCAATGGTTGTTGAATCTTAACTAGTTATTATATTGCAAATTCCGTATCTGATTATATGGTGAATTTTGAGAAAACGATGTTGAAGTGAGATATTCAAGAAGAGTCTTGTGTTATTGTTAATATCTACCATCGGTAGATATTCTTATTTTCCACGTTTCATTCAGAATATTACAAAATTTTGATAGGAAACACATTTATCTAGACTTTGATATTTGTGTGTAAAATGGAAGGAAAATCACTACCATTTTGAACGTGATATTGTGAGTTAGACTGCTAAATGAATAAAAGGCAATGAAAAATCTGACCATAATACCCTTATCTATATATAAATGCTTGAGACTTATGCTCAAACTACCCTTATCCATATTTTTGCATATGTCTTTTCTGAAGCATTTTCTAGGTGATGGAATGCAGTTTTCAGTACTAATTTTTGCATTTGCAGTTGTTGTCTAGTGCTTTTTTTCTAAGAGAGTACCTTATGAAGAATACTTTTGCATTTGCAGTGTGTGGAGTTGGATAAAGATATAGATAAAGATTCAAATATAATAAAAAGGTTATTTTGGTATTTTCAATCTATTTTCCCATCAATATTTTATTTTTAACCAAATTTAGACTCAGTAAACTTAATCCAATTTTTCTGGTAATATTTCGGCCTACCAAACAACTTTTATTTAACTTTCCTACCAAACTCATTTTCACACTACATTCCTAGTAATTATATTTTCTTAGTAAAAAAAAAATTCTCCTGTACCAAAGACCCCCGATAGTGCCCCTCTTACAAACTTTTTTTTTGCCACATTGCGAACAATACACTTTTTTTAAATTGTCATGCGGCGAAACTCATTACGACTGTCAGTAAGTTTGGTTTGACACATGGCATGTTTTCTGAGGTCAACAAACTCATTGTCAGATATATTGATGGTCAAATCAGTTAGCCTGCATTCTGCAATATTGAAGTAAGACACATGACATGTTTAGGCAAACTCACTAGGGCTTGCATCAAATTTAGTTTGACACCTGGTACAAAATTTTGATACAGTAAAAATTAGGAAGATTATAACTTTTGACTCGAGTGTCTGATCATATATTTTTTTTTATTCCACTTAACTTTTGGAGATCAATGCACTGCAAGAAATATTTTTAGTGTTGGAAAGTGAAAATAAGAGTAAAAAATAAATAACATCATTCACATAAATAAAATGTGTCAAACAATTCACAAGTATTTTTTGGGAATTTTTTTTTGTCCAAGTCCCGTTCGGGAAACGTGTTCTCTCGAAAAGTTATATAGAATCAGAAAAAATCACCTCATTCAGGCATCCAATACCAAAGTTATGGTTTTCCAAAGTTTTTTATGATAAAATTATTAAAATTTTATGCCACGTTTCAAATTAGATCGGCTGCAAGTCCTAGTGAGTTTGCCTAAAAGTGTCATGTCTCCTGTTTTAGTGTAGTAAACTAATTGATTTGATCACCTAACTTGTTACACTTAACAACGAATTTGGTGGCCTAAAAAAAATGCCATGTGACCAAACCAAACTCGCGATCAATTGTAGCAAATTTAGCTGCATGAGAGGATTTTTTTTTAAAAATGTGCATTTAGTTCACTGTTCCGGAATCATGCAACTTCTATGCCCCTTTCACCTTTACGTGCCCTTTCATGAAGTTAGTGAGGTAAATCATTTTTCTAAAGTACCTTAATAGGCTATTCCCCACCTTATGTTCTCCCCAGGCTAGAGTTATTCCCCAACCCCCTTTTAGCACTTTCCCTAATTTTATGTCTGCTCTAAGTTTATCAATCCTAGTAACTAGTAAGACACATGTCGTTTGCTCCTAGTCAGATTGCCTTGTCTGACATAGAGTGCTTTCGTTGTCAAAGTAGAGGACATAGACAGAATCAGTGCCCACAAAGGAACCTTACCATAACTAAAGACCTGTTGGCATCTTTTGGCGGAGTTTAGAGGGAAATGAAAGAAGAATCAAATTATCATTATATTTATTCCTTTTTCTATTTCTTTTTCCAAGTGCAGGATAATCTTAAGGAGTTGCGGATTTTTTTCAACCAATTGGGGCCATCCCTTCACCACCCCCATGGGGATGGTCTATAGGGTTCATAATTACTCCTTTTACTATATGACGCTTACCTAGCCAACATTTAGATCCGGCTCTATCCAAACTTTTCTGGTTTACCTCAACATTCCCCACTTGTCCGACTGTTGCTGAGCAGTTTTTGGATATCAAACGGAAGAAAAAGAGAAGAAAAAGGGAATGAAAAAAGAAAAAAGAAATAAAGAGTATTCTCTTTCCTTATTTGGAAATTAAAACCCCCAAAGTAAGGTAACTTTAATTTTAAGAATAAGAAGGATTTTGAAATATTTTGTGAAAATTCTGAAATTATTCCTCTCATTTTTTTAACTCACAAATAAGTGAAGAGATTAATACAACTATTTCTTTTCCTTCCTAAAACTAACTCTCAAATAAGCCCTTAAAATCTGATGATGTTGAGGATGAGATGGTAGAGCCTTTAGAGTATTTATCGAATAAGGATAATGAGAGTCAAGGCACCTTAAAGAGTTTAATTACATTGAGGATGAAGTGGTAGAGCCTCTAGAATATTTATCTAAAATAAGGATTAGAGCCTGAGGTACACCCCTCAATCTTTTTTTCTTTTTTTTTTTGTAAATTCCCCTCAATCTTTTTAGGTAATTTGGGTAGATAAAACATGTCTACATGTTCAGGAGAAATATCAGGTTTCCCTTAAAATTGGTAATTATAGGGAGCATGTTTATTGTGACGTTTTGTCCATGAATGTTTCCCATGTTATGTTTGGACGCCCTTGGTTGTATAATCACAATGCTTATAATCATGAGAGAAAGAATACTTGATACATTATCAAGGCAAAAACATTATTTTACGTCTTGCCCCTTTTAGAAATCGGATTAAACCACCCTACACAAGTGAAACATCCGCAACAAGAAAATTTAAGGCGGATATAATGTTAGTTATTATTTCAACGATTAAATTGGATTTCTCTAACCTCTTATTATAGCCCAAAATCAAATATATTATAGGTGTAGGTACAACGAAACCAATGGTGCATTATACATAAGCTAACATATGTACTGAATAGGGAGAAAAAAATTTAATATTATAAATATATATTATCAGTAGTACATTATACATAATATTCGGTCCGCGACAGTCGTACCAAAAATGCTCTCCTATTATATGAATTATATAACCCAATTCGGACAATTGATTGAGGGTATTATGTTTAATGAGCTTAATTAATAAGGATATTTCATATGATAAATAGTATGATGAGGCTAGTAAACAAGTTTTGTGAGAGTTCATTTGAGCTTTGTCCATAGTTTAACCCCTTGCTAACTTGTTGATCCCCATTTCCCGTTTTTATGATTTGCATGCTGATGTTAAGAATGAGCTTGCTTTGGGTAGTGATAAATTATAAACTTACCATTAATGTGCATTGTAGAGCTCAGAGTTTTAATATGGATGATTATGTTATGGTAAGTATTTGTCATCACCTTCAACCTATGCACTTATTTGAACAGTTGCATGCAAGAGCTCTTGGGCTATTCATAATTTTTATCGGGTATATAAATGTACCATGGATGTAAATATTTGAGACGTTTTGTTTTTATATGATGGAGGTTTCTTCCGTCAAATAATATCTTGTATGTGAGAGGCAGAAATATTCCGCTCGAAGAAAGTAATTTAAATTTATTAAAAGAGGATCTTATTGAAAGAAATATTCTTAAATTGTTCTATATTATTGAATTTTATATTTAAAATTCTTAACAATAAAACTGTACTCAACATTAGTAAAAAATAACCACAATGGATCGCATGACACGGGAATAAGCACAGGTCGTAGTTTTAAATTTAATTATGTTAGTTAGTTAAGATTATATTATAAAGAATACTTTACAAATATTTTTGTTTTGGCGAATTTTATCTTTCGAAGTGTAATATGTGAAAACGAACTACTAAAAAATTTTGATTCCAAAATTGCACCAGTGATAAACAAAAATTCTGAATTCAAGATTGAACATATTACTACAAAAATATCAACTACGATTTAAATTAATATAATTTTTTAAAGAAAAGTGTTTGTCATTATAAATGACATAAAGTTATGTCATTTTAAAGAGAGAGATACATAATTTTTTATTTAAATTTTAAATTAAAAAAAATCACTCACTTTCTCTCTTTTATGATTTCTATTTTTCTGTGTCTATCTCTCTCTTAAAATGATATAATTTATGTCATTTAAAATGACAAACACCCAACCTAATTTTTTATCATATAAAATCTGTAAATACATGTTTTAAATTTTAATGTTAACAAAACGATTTAAGAAGTTATGAATTCATAGCTTTCTTTGTTTTCGTTTTTCGCAGGCTTTGATAAATGTAATGTAAAGCGTCAAGAAAGCAGAATGAAGGAAGAAACTAGAAAGTGGGGAGTGTCTAACATCGATGAGTTAAAGGACACGATAAATATTTTCACACGTTAATTTTAAAAGTTATTAGATTTTGATATGTTAAGATATATTTTGATATTAAATAATATTTTTTTAATTTATAAAATATATTATTATATTTAATATTTAATAATTTAATAAAAAATAAAGTTAAACTTATAATATTCATTAATTTTGTAAAGAAATATAAATTATCACGAATATTTAGATTAAAATTAACAAAATAGTAATCGTAATCTAACGAATCTAATAATTGAAACTTGAAACTAAAATTGTAACATAGTGCAACTTTTGAATTCTTTTTTTAAGTATCTGCAACGTATGCTAGAGTATAAAAAAGTGTCACGAGTGTTAGAAAATGTCAAATATGATACATTAGATTTTTTGAAATATAGATATATTATCATTATGTGTAATTACAAAAATATAGAATTAATAGCACTAACATAACCCCTGTAGATTTGAGATCTAAATAATTATGTAGTTGTGAAATATTATAATTATAAGATTTAATTTTCTTAAAAAATAATATTTAAATAGTTAAAAAAATATCTTAAAATAATTTAAAATATAATAAAACAGCGCCTCCTGCTTCCTAACCGTTCATTTACCAACGGCACAGATTCATTCATTTCCGTCAATCTTCTCAGAAATTGTTTTTATTTTTATTTTGTTGATTTTATTCCCAAATTGCTTTCCAATTTCAGCTCGTCATTCGCATAATAGAGAGAATGGGGAGCGAAAGTAGAAAAGGGCGAAGACGAAGAAGATCAGATGAGTCAGCATCGGAGTCACCTTCACAGTCCGATGAGTCAGACTCCGACAAACGCCGGAGAAGTAGTCAAAGCAGTAGTCGCCGGCGACGGCGGGATTCAGATAGTTCCGGTGATGACGGCGGTAGGGTTGGGAGGAAGAAAAGTTCCTCCAGGGCCATCACAGAAGAGGAAATAGCACAGTACATGGCCAAAAAGGCACAGAGAAAGGTTTCAATTCGTTTCTCTATTACTTAACTATAATTTCGTGATTTGATTTCATGTGTTGAATGATGTTCCGTCCTTCTTTATTTTATGTTCAGGCAATGAAGGTCGCTAAAAAGTTAAAGACTAATACGGTGTCAGGTTATTCCAACGATTCAAATCCATTTGGTGACTCTAATCTCAATGAGACGTAAGTTCCTCCATTCTTCTTCCTATTTCTTTTTCTTTCTCATTGTTATTCTTATTTGATGATTCTGTTAAAGTAATTTTAGATACTTTATCCTTTACCATTATAATACATAAATGTTGCAGATCAGTACTGGTCGTCCATGTGCACATATATGTAAATTATGAACCCACAATAATGTTATTTGTAGGTTTGTTTGGCGTAAGAAGATTGAGCGTGATGTTTCTCAAGGTGTACCTATTGATACCTTTTCAGTTAAAGCTGAGAAAAAAAGACAAAAAGAAAGGATGGTAGGCTATTCCTTCCAAGAAAATTATTTTTCTGTATATATTTCGTAGTATCTGGTTGTAGTGTTGCATTAAGTTTAAGAGATTCTAACTGCGATGATTATGTTGTTTTTTATTCCTTTAAACTGAGCATAATAGATGTTATGTCGTATAAGCATGGCAATAATAACACTAGGCCTCCCTACTAATGGTACTACTGGACAATATTCGTTGCTTCAACCTCAGCAACATGCCGTGTACAACTTTTGACAATTGAGAAGCTTTATATTGATAATAGCATAATGATATATTTAGTTCCTAGACCATATGTGCAAATGTTTTGATGATCTTCTTCACTTTTTTTCTCGGTGATTTGGGGATAAGAATACAAGTTAGAAAAGTAACTAGTTGGGGAAGATCGAACCTACACTATCTGGTGGTTTTTCCCGAGGATGGAATAGGTGCGGTAGTCCTCAGTGGGGTTGAACTTACACTATCTGGTGTTGAAGTGTTGCACTAATTTTAAGATATTAAAATTTTCCCTTCGTATGTCTAATAGTAGAAATGTGATATGAACCTTGGAAGAACCTCACCCCAATAGCTAGCTCATGAGGTAGGAGAGCCTAAAGTCCATATAAACCCCACATTAGTCACCCATATAACCAATGTGGGACTCAAGTCCCATACCTTGCAATTGGATCATAATAGAATGTTAGCCTCATCATATAACCTTCTATTATTTGGAATATGATTTGCATCTGTGATGTTCCCTGTAAATATCACTGGGAAGGGTTCGATGGATACATCTTTGCTTTAATTTTACATTAGAACATGGCAATAGTCATTGAATGGGAGATAATTTTACTAGAATTTTGTGTTTAATACTATATGATTCTATGCTTCCTTTTGAAAGAAATTCAATGATATTGCCTAGGGATATATCAAAATGCTATAAGCACTTGCAAGGATAGGATTTATAGAGTTGATCTGATTTTGACTGCTAACCAATGTTTTTCAATATTTAGATCTTGATGTTGTGTTCTACTCAAGGTAAAATCCATTTCAATATGTGGCCAGCAGCCAGTCTAAACATTTCCTTTGAATAACTGAGGGATCTTAGGTCTTCTCAAATGTATATAATTTTCATTTGCTTCCTCCATTTCTTACCACCCAGGCTTACTATCGTACTTGCCTCTGCTTAGTCCTGTGTACATAATGTACAGTCTTCTTAGATATTATTATTATTATTTTTTTTGGTACACAACTTAGATATTATTTTCATTGCTCCTTTAGTCTTAGCACTTTCTGAAAATGCTGATTTCAGTTATTAAGAATTGCATTTTCTTCCATAAATTAAAAAAATATATCTGTCGTCATCCTTTTTAAAAATGCTTGTAGATTGTATTGGATGAAATCCAACATACATTATTCATTTAAGTTATTGTGATGTCTTTGTTTTTACCTAGAGAGCTTATTCCTGGTGTTAATTTATCCATTGTGGATGGTTGAGAATCTTGTTTGGTTGAGTTGTGTTAAACTGTAATTGGGAGTGGATTAGATTAGTTCAGCAATTCATAGTGCTTATTTAGGAAAACTTGTGATTGAGGTAAGACTTTGAATGCTCGTTCTTTGTTTTACAAATTTGGTTGGTCCTGTAATTTGTTAATGATGCCCGAACAACTAAACTTTCTTACTGCTTACCATTACAATATTTTCAATTATAATACAGGCGGAAATTGAAAAAGTGAAAAAGAGAAGAGAGGAAAGGGCACTTGAGAAAGCACAACATGAGGAAGAAATGGTAAGCCCTTTCTTATAATTTGTCATTAGTTAATATTTACTGTGAGAATTGTAGTTATGCTATGCTCTGTTGACTCTTAGTAGTTTTGGCTTCTTCTTGTTGTACTCCGTTCTATACTTGACATATAGTATTAGTATAAATAGGATTATTAGATCAGTATCCTGTTTCCCAATTATTTAGTCTTTTATATATATTCTCTCTTGTCTGCTTTCCTTTGAATTCCTAAATTTCAACAGTTATCATTTTAATTCTGTTGGAAGAAATTTTTTTATCTTGCCACTGTAATGTTTTGTGGTTCTATTCTATTACATACCAATTATGCCCCTTGTCTTTTGTTTTTTGGGGTGGGGTTTTTTTTTTGTTGTTTTTTTTTTTTTTGGGGGGGGGGGGGGGGACAAGGTTACATATCAGGCCTTTCCTTTAAGAAAGGTCCTAAAATTTAACTTCACTCAGGATTTTGTGGCCCAAATGTGGTGGAGATACTTAAAAGTCAAGCCATGGCTTGACATGAGTGTTATATTTTTTGTGGCATAAACTATGTTATCTTTTTGGGATGTAACACATTCTTTCTCCCAGGCGTTGTTAGCCAGAGAACGTGCTCGAGCTGAGTTCCAGGACTGGGAAAAAAAAGAAGAGGAGGTACTGTGCCTTGCGTTCCTTTTTGTTTGTTGTTATTTAATATATAACATCGTTAGTTTGGTGACTTAGACAATTTAATGTGCAGTTTCATTTTGATCAAAGCAAAGTTAGGTCAGAGATTAGATTGCGTGAAGGGCGTGCCAGGCCAATCGATGTCCTGACCAAGCACCTCGATGGCTCCGATGATTTGGATATAGAAATAAATGAACCATACATGGTCTTCAAGGTTAATGCTTAGCTTCTTCTTTTTTTCCGTTTCGTTTTCTCCCATTCCTTTAATTGTTGTAATGTCACATAGTATGTTTAAAGATATCCAGCTTTAAATGTTAATTTTATTGGAGAAGTTAGATAATGATTTGATATATGGTGCAGGGTTTGACTGTGAAAGAAATGAACGATCTTCGCGATGACATCAAAATGCATCTGGACCTTGACAGGGCAACACCAACCCACGTAGAATATTGGGAGGTATCACCCTATTTCCAGTTTTTGTTTTTTGCTTTATAGTCTTGCACGGCATACTTAATTAATAGTTTTTACCTTATCTATTTAATGGCACAACACATTCAAGATAATTTCAACTTGAAATTTGAGGTGAACACTGAACAGGAGTCCAAGTGAACTAGTTGACTTCCGTAATCTTTTCCTTTTCCTATTTTAGTTAACCCATATGGCCATTATGGTTGGCATCTTGTTCAAAGTTAAAGACTTATTATTCAATGTCTTCATGCAGGCACTCCTGGTGGTGTGTGATTGGGAGCTAGGTGAAGCTCGAAAAAAGGATGCACTTGATCGAGCTAGGGTGCGTGGAGAAGAACCTCCTGCTGAGCTGCTTGCAGAAGAAAGGGGTTTGCATTCCAGTGTTGAGCCGGATGTGAAGAGGCTGTTGCAGGGGAAGACACATGCAGAATTGGAGGCTTTACGGATTCACATTGAGTCAGAGATGCGTACTGGCACAGCAAAGGTGGTTGAGTACTGGGAGGCCATTTTAAAACATCTCCACATATATAAGGCCAAGGTATTCTCCATCACATTATTTTCCTATGTTTCTGCTACATGTCTTTAAACAATGGATTGTTTCAGTGCATTATTAAATTGCTGCAAATACAGGCTTGTTTAAAGGAAATTCATGCTAAAATGTTACGAAAGCATTTACAACGCCTTGAGCAACCATTGGAGGATGAAGATAAATTGGAGAATGCTCATGTTATGATACCTGAGGAGGAAGATACTGAGGATGATGATAAAGGTATAAGCCTTTTGTTGTTGTTTAGTTGTTCATGAAACAATTTTTATTGGCTCCATCCATCTCAAATTTCATGTTGAAATTTTCTTGATATTTCTGTTTCTTGGTAGTCCGATCTGCAGATGAATCATTTTCACCAGAGCCCATTAGAGAGGATGAAGAAGCTGAAAATGAGGCTGGATCATTTTCGCCAGAACTGTTGCATGGTGATGACAATGAGGAAGCTATTGACCCTGAAGAGGACAGGGCTATACTGGTAATCTTTCTTAGCATGACTTTTAATGGTGACCTCATACTTAAGTTATGAGTATTATAACTTGCCCATGCTGGTACCTTTCTAGGAGCGGAAACGTATGTCTGTATTAGAAGAGCAGCAAAGACGAATTCAGGAAGCAATGGCTTCAAAGCCAGCTCCATCAGAAGATAATTTTGAGATGAAAGCCATAAAAGCTATGGGAGCTATGGAAGATGGAGATGCAGTGTTTGGATCCGGTGCTGAAGTGAACCTAGATTCACAGGTATCTTGTCTTGGCCATATACATTATTTTTCACCCTTTGTGAAATGGCATCTGCATGTCACTCCATGATTCTTAGAATTTTGAAATTTTCATGGTCAGAAAAATATGTAGTTAATTAGGAATACAATGTTCTAGATTTTTGGAAGTAATATTATAAGTGATGGATGGTTATTATGGAAGAGACTCTTGTGCCAGCTGTATAAATATTCTTATCATATGCTTTGGTCACTTCTCTCCATAGAAAAAGTTGGCATTAGAGGGAGTAAGTAGACTTTCTTGGAATATTTTGGTATTTTAAGGATAAATAAAAGTTTGTTATCCATCTTCTCATTGTTTAAAGTTACTGACGTAACTGATAAATGTTTGAGCAGGTGTATTGGTGGCATGACAAATACAGGCCTAGGAAGCCGAAGTATTTCAACCGTGTTCATACTGGATATGAGTGGAACAAATATAATCAGACTCACTATGATCATGACAACCCACCTCCAAAGATTGTCCAAGGGTACAAATTTAATATTTTCTATCCTGATCTTGTGGACAAGATAAAAGCCCCAACTTACACCATTGAGAAGGATGGCAGCAGTGGGGAGACTTGCATTATAAGGTTCCATGCAGGGCCACCATATGAAGACATTGTAAGTCTATGTTCTTGGGGTTCTGAAGGATTTTTAATTTTCAAGTAATTTACTTATTTCCTTGTGTGTTCCATGGCAGGCTTTTCGCATTGTAAACAAAGAATGGGAGTACTCTCATAAGAAAGGTTTTAAGTGCACGTTTGAACGTGGAATTCTACATGTGTACTTCAATTTCAAACGCCACCGCTACCGCAGATAATTTCATCAGGCAATGGTTCGTTTTCTGTTGTGTTTCTCGTACTAGTTTGACGAAGGCTACGTGGCTGCCATATTTAAGAGTAGAGTTTATGCCACGGTGCTGGCACTAGAGATAGACGGTCAGGAAATTGACAGCTCGGAATGATACTATGGAGAAATTCTAAGGTACTTTGAGAGTAATACTCCCAACGGTGGAGATTTGATCTAAACCTTCTTATACTATTTTAAATTTAATCTAATGACATGTATGGTTATGTTGTTTTCGTGTAACGTTTTTAATGGATTGAGTGTAGTACTCTTACAAAACATAAGCATCTCGAAACCAAGGGTCTCTCCAGAGGGTGAGAGATATTAATTACATACCTTCACCTTTTTTGATTCCACATACTAATATCTATTATCTGTGAATCCTATCTGGATTATCTTGGCTTTCTTTTAGATTATTGGAGAGTATAACATTATCGAACTGTTTCTTTAGCAGAAGTTGATTAGTGTGCTTCTGATATGATGTATGAAATCTCAAAAGTTGAAAGAATTAGTGGTAGCAGACACATAATTAGCGATAACAGCAATTCCATTTTGTCATTAGAATTCTTTGAATCCCGTATGGATTACCTTGCCTTACTTTTAGATTATTGGAGGGTATCACATTGTCTAACTGTTTCTTTAGCTCGAATTGATTAGTGTACTTTTGATGATGTATGAAATCTCAAAAGTTGAAAGAATTAGTGGTAGCCCACATATAATTAGCTATAACTGCAATTCCATTGTGTCGTTACCCGACAAGCTTAGGTAAAAGGAATATGAACAAACCAATGAATAAATCGCCTTACCAACCGTGAAAATCAGTAACCTTAAATCGAACGGAAAAAATGGTTCAAGATAATAAAAAATAGTTTTCACATTCATCGAAAAAACTTGTCTTTGCTTTTGTTTTTTTTCAAAAAAAAAAACTGGACTTTTCTCCTATAATATAGAAAAGTAAGCCCATGAAAGAATTATGTGTTCTATAGTTTGATTGGTGGAAATTATAACTATTGATTGATGAAAATCTTAAATTTAAAAGTGTAATACCGGTATCGATTTTGTCCTTATATATATATATATATATATATATATATTAGATGATGATTTGATTGGTCTATGTGAAAGGTTATCATGTGAGACAAAACTTTTTTTTTTAGGGTCATAATGCTATTATTTCATTGGCAATGTTATTTTTGTTCACTTTTAATTCAAAAAAGAGATTAACACAAAAAAGAAATGAAACTTGAGCTTGGTTTTGATTTAAATTCTATTATTGATGCAAATCAAATTAGGTTATTATGAAGTTATAGTTACAGACTTACAATTCATTTCCAAATATTCACATCTTTGATCACATTATTGTTATATAATAATATTGAAATTATTAATTAATCTTAAGTTATGGTTTGTGTAGTTATGTTAAATAAAATTATTGTAATCACTTTTTTGCCTTTATCTTATTGCCTGATGCTTGTTTTAAACTTACAAGTATTTAGATATTAGATATTAGAAGGATAAATTATTCTGCCTACTCTTATTTTGTTCACCTTTGCCTACTCCTTTCAATATTGTTCGATTACAATCTCATTCAACGGTCAATATTTGTGATATAAAATAAACTTATTTTTTCCCTTTTTTTCTCCTCACTTCCTCCCACACCTTTTCTCTCTCCTCCCCTTTCTCTCTTCCTCTGCGATCAAGACTGAAAATAACGAGAAAATTGAACGAAAAACACATTCAACCATCAACTAAAAATAATCCATATATGTACCAAAAAAAAATAAAAAAAAATCCATATAATTCTATTTCATCCAGATCTAATAGTCCAACACAAGTCTCCTCTCTTCCTTGGAACCATTGTAAAAAATGTAATATATCGTTCGATTAAAAAATGCAAGATTAATCGTTCGATTATTTTCTGTATTTTCTCTTCAAATATAGAAAATAATAAGTTTGAGGTTTCTTATTAAAAACACATACTCATTATCAATATATCGCTATTGATTTCAATAGCATGCTCGATTCTTATTAGCATGAAGGGACCATGAAATTCCTGAGAAGTTCTTCAAACATATTGTATCTATCGTCTCTCATCGGTTTTAACATGAGCATTATCAAGGTCCTCAATTTCCTTCCTGCTCTTTACCATACTCCATTTCTTGCTATTGAAATCTAGTTTGTCCAAGTCATCTGCAATTCCCACATAATCATACAGAATTTTCTCTACTTCATCTCCCTGATTGTATGTGTTTGAAGATATTTTGTTTAGGGATAGGCAAAATAAGTGAGGTTTTTTAATTGATGGTAGTATGTGTTTTTTTTTCTCGATTTTCTCGTCCTTGATCGCAGAGGAAGAGAGAGAAAGGGTGTGGGAGGAAGTGAGAAGAAAGTAAAGGAAAAAAAAAGATTTATTTTATATCACAAATATTGACCGTTGGATAAAATTGTAATCGAACAATATTGAAAGGGGTAGGCAAAATAAGAGTAGGCAGAATAATCGATCTCATATTAGAAATAAAAAATTAACATTAATATGATTATTAATTTTTTCCAATATTTTAATTTTTTAGGCTGGTTGATGTGTCAACCGCCTCAAAATGGGATGAATTGATATTTTAACCCACTTACGAATAACGGTCAATTCACTATGTCCTATTTATACGTGACAAGTAAGACGGATTAACCTGTTTTAATCGATGTGCTATTTATATTTTAAGTGAGTCATCTCAGCTATCAAATGCATCGTTGGGCTAATAAAACAATATGTTTTCCATATGCATTTAGCATGCATGATTCTTTGTCTGCACGTGTTTTTCTATTTACTAGACATCAGTTTATGGTCATGCTTAAGTAATAATCCAATCTAGCTTTTTCGTTCTTTTTGAACTAATTTAGGGGAGAAGGTAGAAGAAATTTTCTTATTATGGTATAAAGATACCCTAATGTTTTAGTTTACAGTTTTGTAGCATGCATGTGGGGGACATACAAAGGCCTTCTTAGAAGATTATCTACGAAACTTTTGTTTTCCTTTCCTTGATAAAAGGTTACTCTCTACCCAAAAAAAAAAAGGTTACTCAAGTAGTTCATGAGACCATCAAATTAGATAGGCTGAAGCCTGAAGGGGAATCGAAATTATACACATAAAAAATGTACAGTCTCCCCGAGTTTTTATTGAGTGTTAAGCCGACCCAATCGTTGCATTTGCATAAAGCCATAAACACTTGGCTGCTGCGAATTCAGTGCTGCCATTACAAATACTAGCTAAGCTTTTTGTGATGCCATAATTACCTATCCCCACAGTCTGGAAGCAGTGGAAAAGTTTGAGAGAATTATGGAAAGCATTATAGGGACTAATGAAATTGCTTTTGACTTATCCCACTCTTTTAAAATGACCCTTTCCTTTAATTTTTTCTATCATTTTGTAATGACAAAAGTCACAACTCACAAGTCATTAGTATATATAATTTACTTGGATGAAATGCTAAATTAAGATAACTATCACATGAAAAACTATTATTTCAATGACATAATTATGCCAATTTATGACATTTATATATTTTGTCATATTATAAAGGGTTAGAATTATCTTATATCCGTGTAAATTATACTTTTAATCTTGGTTGTTGATCTTGTTGGGACGGGGTCCTTTAAATCATTCATGCAGAAACAATTTTAAGCAATGTCACCTGGCACACTAGGTTTATCGCCCGGCACACACAATCAAAGTCTAAAGTCTTCAAGTGATACTGGTTTGCAATCGAGTCTTGGCGATCGACAACACTAGAACACAGTCGGCAATTCAAGTATATCGGTCGGCCAACACAAACGATCAATATTAGTTGGCCGGTCAAGAAATACATAAAAAAATGAAGTGCAAAAGATCAAAATGGAGAAAAAAATACAACAAATTTTAACATGAAAAATCTCTTCTAAGGCAGAGAAATAAAAATTACGGGACACTAGTTTTGAAAATATTCCACTATGAAATAGTAGGATTACAAAGAGATCAAACTTCCCTAGTCACACTAGAAGTATACTCAAACTTCATCAGCAATGGTGGTTACAAGATTCTTCTCTAAAGAGGTCTCTCGCTCAAACTTCTTTTCAGATGATTCTCTCAAAATGTCCCAGCTCTCTATGCTCAGACTATCAAAAACTTGTCTATTGCAAATATTTAATGTGTTTATAAAGGTGAAGAGAAACCTTACACGTTCTTCTAGAATCTTTCTCCAATAATGGTTAGTTAGATAACATTTATTGAGATGGTTGAGCAGACATCGAGCCATACACCCATAAATAAATTGCATGCTTAGCCTCAAGCATTAATAGAAGAACACACTCCAACAGATCTTACTCTTATTTATTGATTCTAATTTTTTAGCTACGTGAAAATTGAATATAAATCGTTCCATGACAAAAAAGTAGGATCAGACTTCTTATACTGATTGTAAGATAATATAAGAATAACATACTCGTATAATAAACTCATCTTCAATTTGTTAAAGACATATTGGAAAAATGAGATTTTTTATATACATCTAGTTTAGTGTATAATTGGTGTATTAACTAGTAAATTATTGATATATATATATATATATATATATATACATATATATATATATAATTGACCCGTTTTTAGAGTCATATATGGTCTTCGCGTTAATTGTATTTATATTTATGTTAAATTTGTGTCGTCTCAAACATGAATCGCCGCTGCTAGCCATATTAGTTACAAATCGAATATAATCCTTCGAGGATTAGACTAATCATAGCCTTTTAGTGATGCTATCCTCCTAGTATAACAAAATTGAATTTCCATTTCAAAGTTTCAAGTGAAAAAAATGCTTTCCTAAGTTGTAAAAGGAAGAATACTTTCGACGAGTGAGAAATCCCCATTCTCAAAAGATTACAATAACTGCATATACTTTTGAATGGTTCACACTTTCAACAAAATGAAGGCATCAGATTCTAACATTTCCTTATTCTTGACCACCCAATCAAATCTAGTTTTTGGAATCACTTTAGCTCCTTTCTCATTGGGCTACTCACTATATACCAAAGACCTCATTGCCACTACCTTGTTTCCATATCAATACAGCCTTTAAGTTTTACAGCATATAATTAAATAATTAAAAATACTATGCTAATTATTATGCAATTAATGCACTTATTATCAAACAGAAACCTTACATGTATAATATTTCACTCTTGATCCATAATCCTAATTATGCATAGGAGGCGTAGAACAATATCCCTCATACTAGGCCTTTCACCTTTCTTTTCCCTCAGACAATCAAGTGCAAGCTCCGAGAAGAGTTTTATGCTTGTGATCATTTTATCACCAAAGGGATCCATGGAAAGAAGACTTTGATCTACAACTTCCATGATTGTACCATTGATGGCATGTTGACTCACATGAATTGCTAGGTTGACATCATCTTGTTCACGAGAGAAGTCTATTGCTTTCTGTGAAGTCAAAAGCTCAAGCAACACAACCCCATAACTATAAACATCACTTTTATCTGTTAACTGGTAGTTGCGGTAATATTCAGGATCCAAGTACCCCAGTGTTCCCTGAGCACATGTTGACACATGACTAAGTCCCGGGTTAGCCAATCTAGAGAGCCCAAAATCTGAGACTTTGGTGTTGAATTCATCATCCAATAGTATATTTGTTGACTTGACATCTCTATGGTAGATTGGAGTGTGTGCAGCAGAATGCAAGTAAGCCAATGCTTCAGCTGTTTGAAAAGCAACCTTAAGCCTTGTTTTCCAATCTAGAAAGTTGATTTTGGAAAACCTGCCATGAAGATGGTCATAGAGGGTCCCATTTGAGATATACTCATAGATCATTAATGGCTGTTCAGATTCCATACAGCATCCCAAGAGTTTTACTAAGTTCTTGTGATTGACTTCAGAAAGTATTGCAACCTCATTAAGCACTTGTTGGGTGCTTTTCAGGTTACCCACTCTAGCTTTCTTGACAGCCACAAGTGTTCCATCTTGTAGTTCACCTTTGTAAACTTCCCCAAAGCCACCACTCCCTAAGAACCTGTCTTGAGAAAAACCATTTGTTGCTTTATTCACCTCTTTCAGTTGAAACATCCTATAAGGTTTCTCCCCAGCTCTTGATTTCAGCATGCTTTCTTTTTCCTTGGTCTGCTTCTCCCTATAGCTAGAGAGTTTGCATGATCTTGTGATGATGGCTAGAACTAGAGCTAGAGAGAAAAAAGTAACAACCCCTATTGAAGCCACCAAGCTGGTTTTCCATTTGGATTTTCTCTTATACCTCAGGCAGGTTGCTACAAAAGGGTCCCAATGGTGTCCCCCATTACAAAGACAGCGAAAGAGGCCATTTCTACCAGCAGGGGAACACTTGGAGTCTCCAGAGCAATCCCTTTGTGTCCTGCAAACTGGTTCAGGTGGTGGAGCCCATTGAATTTCAAGGCCTTCATCCCACTGATTAGGAGGCTTCTCTTCATCCAAATGAAGGATGCTTCTGAGGGCTTTGCAACCAGAGTTGTGAAGCCTAATCCTGTAACCTGAAGGTACCCCACCAGCAACAAAGGTGCAACAAGGGTGAAGACCACTTGCACATTCAAGTGCTAGTGTTTTGTCAACATGACCTGAACTCTCCAAGTAACGATGGCAAATACTAGAAGAAGTGCAGTTAAGAGGAGAAACCAAGAGGCGAGGGGAACAGTTAAAGAGGAATACTGTGTTGGATGAAGTTATGTTGAAAGGTAGTGACTGATTTAACCAAATACCATGGCTTGCCGGCATGTCTTGTGTAACACATGAACCAGGTAACCAAGGTGATGGTTGTATCACCATGCGCTGAATTGAAGACATGATTCTGAGTATTAGATAGGAACTGCCATTGAGGGTGTCAAAGTAAAGCCTTTGAGAGTGGGAATCACAACGAAGCTTATAGTATGGATCACCACAACTTGGTTCTGTGCTCAAAGGATATGGAACTTGCATAGAGCCACAGTTTGGACAAGTCTTTTGTGAAGAAGTATAATGACCAAGGAAGGAAAGGAAAAGAAGAAAGGCATATCTAAGATGGAAGCTCGGTCTCATGTTTGATTCAGCAATCATTTTGCATGGACAAAATTAGAAGAAGCTGAAAAATCTCATGGAATGGAACTGATAGGAACGAAGATGAATAAATAAAAAAAGGCTACACCTAGCTACTGCAATGGAATAAAGTATGTATGTGAGTTAATGTGGCTGCAAGAATCCACAACATGGAATATCATAAAAATATAGTGAATTATTGGACCAGTTGATACCGTATGTATGTGGTCATAGAAACGGCTTTTGTACCTATATATACTCTCTTTATAAGGTGCAAAGACAGAAAAAAAAAAGGCTTTGGCACATACTCAAGTTTACATAGTTTTTCTTCCTTTCATTTAGTCATGAAGATATATATATATATATATATATATATATATATATATATAGGGATAGTATCCGTTTACAAATTTTTTTTGCAAATTACACTAAGTACGACCGGTCGTACACTGCATGATTAAAGTATAACCGCCGTACTTAGTGTAATTTGTGAACAAAAAAGTTTGTAAATATAACATGTCCCATATATATATATATATATATATATATATATATATATATATATATATATATATATGGTTTATCCTATCTCAAGTTGCTTGAGGTAACTTTATCTCCGGCTACTAAATCATAACCGTACAAAGATGAATCAATGGTGATAAAGGAAGAGAGAGAAAAATGGAATCATAACTATTCAAAGGTGAATCAATTAATATAAAAAAATAAATAAACAAAACTACGTAGTTTTTAGGTGGATGGAAATAAATATATCTCAATCTGCTTGAGAAATATTTTTCTCACACACACACACATATATATTTATATATGAGAGGGTTATATTTACAAATTTTTTATTTACAAACTATACTATGTACTCCCGGAAGCAGTGTTGTTAAACCCGACTTAGGCATCGACCCGGTCAGGGTACTGGGTCACTGGTCGGACCGGTGGGTGACTAGTCGGACCGGTTGACCTGGATATGTATAGATATAAAAAAATATATATAAATATGAACATATAAATTCAATTATATTCTCCATATCTAAAATGAATTAAACAAGGTTCACTATATAAGTTAAAAAACATGAAGCATAAATAAATAAAAGTGCATGCTATTACTATGTCAATTTAAATTGCAACTCAGAATTCCCATAAACATACATTTCAATGACATTGAACTCATATTTTTTAAATTTAATTACATTAAAATGACATGTAACATTCTCTAATTTATTATTCCACAAATTGCTTCAGTATTGGAAACTAAGAGGTCATTGTAGAAGAGTATACTAACAAATAAAATTACAAAAAGTTTTTAAAATGAGTTATATATTTTTTTTTATAAGATGAAACAATTTTGGATTTGGTTTTTTTTTTTTTAAATGTATGACCCGATCGGGTCACCGGGTTTGACCGGGTCGATGCATGACCGGTCCGATGCTAAACTCGAACCAGTCTGATGACCGATTCACCGGGTTCCGGGTCGACCCGGCCGGGTCGGGCCAGGTTTTACAACAGTGCCCAGAAGTTCATTAGGTTACATTATATACTTCCTGTAGTATATAGTATAATTTGTAAACAAATTCTTCCATATATATATATGTATATATATATATATATATATATATATATATATAATCATAGTGGAGAAATTACTGATTAAAATATACTAGAAGCCTAGACAATTATGATTCTTGCACTATCAGTAATGTGACGAGCCAATATTTCTCCTTGTATTTCTGACAAATGGATTATGCACAAGCACATTACACGGTTAATATCTGTTAGTGAAGTTCAAGGTTCAAAGAACTATTAGAATGTTTAAAAAACATGTAAGAAGAATCTTTCCATTCATTAATGTCACTAGATCGATTTCTTTTCCTTACTCCATCAGAAAGTGTAGATACTGAATAAACTCGTCCTCTTCTCTCTAGTGTAATGGGTCCCAAATCTAATTGCTCAATATTCTCTACAAGCATTTCTTTCCCCACACGGTTTCTCTTTAAACAGATGCAGAATTTTACAAAAATGAACAAAGAGAAAAAGATGAGAGTTACTTTCACATAATAAAAAATCTGGAAAAAGAAACTCTGTGCACAGATTCGGATTAAAAACGACATCTGTAAATATTCAAGTTTGTTATTGATGGAGAACAGATTTCTGCAACAACAACAACAACAAATGGTTTTGCAAATGGGATATACTATAGTATTTTTTATTTTTATTTTTTTAATAATGCTTGGGTATGCACTCCATTCAAATATTAAACTTATTAAGGTTGTGCCCACCATGTTAATAATGGACCAATTTCTAAACTATAACTTTATACAAGTTAATCATCAATTGGAGTGTTCAAGAGATAATGTGGTGGTCAATGCATACATTTAAGAATTTCTTTTTTTGTGGGTACAAGTAGCTTGGAGAAATTCTTGGTTAGGCTCTACCTATCACTCTTTGACACTTCATTTAATAGTTGACTTGTATAAAAGCATTGTTTAGATATTTGTACATTCTTAGTAAGAATCCCACAACATTAACACATGTTTAATATTAAATGAAGTGTTTGTGGTAAGGATTTATTAACTCCACATGTTAAATATCCACCACTTGCTTGTGGTTAAACATAACATGGTGGAATTCTTGGGACTCTGCCCCTTTTGTGTATTAAAAAAAAAAACATGGTGTAAGGAATTCCAAATATTTATTGTCAAAACCAACCACCAATAAATGTTAACACATTAAACTACAAATACCAAAAAATTTAAAAAAATAAAAAATACTAACATTGTAGCAATTTCATTGCAAGTGCTCAGTAAAATTAAAAGGCAGAAAAAGATCTTTCTAACCAGCAAGACTTCCCGTTTTCAACTGGGATAGCATCATATAATGCAACATTATAAAATGGGAAATATTACTCTCATATTACATGGGAGTAGTTCTCTCATGCTATAGAGAGAATCTAAATGAGATCCACCAATAAAAGAAAAAAGAAAAAAGAGGGAGTGCGATTTTCGAAGTGAGAGAACATGAGATAACTATCTCATGTAAAATGAAAGTAATATTTCTCTTATAAAATATATAAAATGTTTATGAAACAAAAAAATTACTTTTTCTTTTAAAAAGTCTAGTACTCAATTATTTAACTAAATAATTAATGGGTTTTATAATTCTCATGTTGAAGGAAAATTGAAATCTCATGTTGTATAGATAAAAAACATGTGGGAACCATGTATTATAAAAAATTATATGTAGAACACATGTCAGTACGGAAATCGAAGGGTGTGTAGGAAAATTATAATTCTCATGTTAAATGAGAATTATAAAACCCATAATTGAACCAAGTTTTATTCTATTTTGAATGTTTTTAACTGGTTTACAATTGCCTGATTGTAAATTTGACTAATCTAAATATCCAAATAATAACACTGAAATTTAAACTTATAATTTTATGCAAGTAACTCAAATCCATCACCATTCAATGCTCATTATAGATTGCACTATCAATAAAGTCCTCACATTAATCAGTTGAATTCAAATTCACACTCTTATCAAATACAAACAACATGATCCTCAACATATTTCACTCACCCTCCATAGTGAAGACAGTGATCATTAGCCCATACATTTTGACAAGCCGCTCATCCATATCCTAATTTTTAAACCAATATCAAGATTCCTATTAACCAAGGTAAAAGTAATAATAATGGCAAGCACTCACCATTAACCTTACCTATTATTACCAAGATAATATTTTTTACTATGTTCTCATATTTGCAATCGCTTAATGATCATCATTGCGAATATCTTCTGCGCATCTTTGACTAATATTTGGGCATCTCTCCAAAATGTGAATATGAAACAAGTAGTAGCATAATATTTTTTTTCTTAAAAAAAAAAACGAGTACACTAGCAATATATTGGCGAGTAATGCTATCGTAGAACACTTGCTTTTATAATTTCCCACAATTCCACAGGTGATTCTGCGTGACTTTAATCTGAGAACAGAAATGGTTAAAGATTAATTTCAATAAAATTGATTTTTTTGTAGATAATGATAACCAATATCCCAGGGACAAAATTAAAAAAAAGAAAAGAAACAACTTATTTGTGGCTTCTTCGTTTTTGGGCACACAAATAAAAAAATTAGAACTGAATGATTACCATACATGCCTTATAACTCAGTTATATTTTGATTATATGCTCTGTGACAACCATCTTTATATCCTTTCTAGCAGTATATAAAAGAGTTTGAAGCCCTGGGAACCAACTAAAGAGACGCAAGAGAGGAAACAGAGAAAAAGAGAAAACTGTCTTCTTCTTTTTTTAATAATATATTTTTGTTAATAATTATAAAAGTGTTATCTTTTTTTTTAGCTTATTTTTTATATGAAAAAATTGTAAAGAAAATAGTGAATTTTTTTTATTTTCTTTACTATCTTATTTGTAAATTCTTAAAAATAAAAAATAATTATAAAAATATTATTTTAAAATAATATTTTTATAATTATTTGTAAAAACATGAATTAAAAAGAAATAATTTGTAATAGTATTTCTTAGAAATAAGTTTATTTTTAGGATTTTGATTTTCTTATGCAATAAAAGATAGGTATCTCATATTATAAACATATTTTATATGAGGGCATGCATCTATTAAAAAAAAAAAATATTGCACAAAAATTAAAGAATCACTAGTAAAAACAAACAACTTTCCTATAACATGAAAATTGTTTTCCCCTTATTTTTAATATTTGAGCTACACAACCTTACGTATGTCAAGTGTTGGTTTAAGTGAATGGGTAACAAGTTTCTATTTTTCCTATATTGACCTAAGTTGTTAAGTTTCTTTCACATCAAAATTGACAAGCCAAGTAGCCAACTCGACTCTCTGGGTAATATTAATTATGGGCTTTATTAATCTCCATCAATAGGAGGTAAGATATCTTCTATCACTCTCACAATCATATAGTGAAACCCACATAATTATAAAATAAAAAAGTAAAAAAACAAAAGCACATGAATCGATGTCTCAGCTGGAAAATGAACATATCTTCTGTGGCTGAAGATTAGTTTTTCCCATTAATTATTAACCTTCAACAATCTTTTCCCCAGTCCCGCATCATAAACTAATGGGCTTATATGAATAGGCTTTGCTCATTCACTGTGGATTCTTTTTTTTGGTAATAAAAAACTCTAGATTAAAAGGTGGTTAGGGATAGTGTGGACTGTGGATGGAAGGTTAGACTAGGTGTACCAACCCGTTTGCAAATATTGTAAATCCTGTGTAATAGCTTTTAGTGGTGAATGCATTATATAACAATACTGTGTTCTTGTGAAGGAAGAGAGAGCGACTTAGCAAGACACTATGGGATCTATTTGATTATGTTATGATTTTTTTGTTTTTAAAATTATTTTGTAGAATAGTTTTGAAAAAATGTGTTTTTTTATTTTATTTTGAAAGTTAAAATCAAAACAACTCATACATATTCTCTAAATTTAATTTTAAAAATAAAAAAACAATTATAGTTTTTAAAGAGATAGGATATTATTACTATCAAATAATTTTACTATCAATACTATTACCATATTTTAACCGATGATTTCTGTCAATCAACGGCTATTATTTTCACAAATCAAACTCATTAATTAATTATTAATTTGCAATAAATGATAACCGTTGATTGACGAAAATCAACGGTTAAAATATAGTAATAACATTATTTGGTTGTAACGATATCCTATTCCATTTTTTGAAACTTTTTTTTATAAAGCAGGCCTTATCAGATGGATTTTTTTATTTTATTTTTCTGAAAACGAAAAAATTATTTTTAAAAGTAGTATTCAAGCCGATAATTTTGAAACAAATGTGTTGTCACAAGGTCACTGCTCTTATGCCAACATCAGAGTTTCTTTCTTGGCAAGTATCAATAACTACATAGCACTAGAGCAAGACCTCCTTCTAGGAACTTCTTGTTGCTCTTCCCCTTTGGAAACAGAATGCCTAATTCTAGCTTTTTCACTGCCTTCAACCCATCTCTTTAGCCTTTCAAGCAACTTTCTCCTTTTTGAACAACCACTGTTGCTAGGATGAGCACTTTGATGCTCATCAAAGGAAGGAACACCATGATTCTCCAAAAGGGAATTATGTAATTCATGATCTGAGTCATAATGTATAACTTCATCGCTTTCTCCAATTTCCAGTTCTATATGGTCTCTATCCTGATTCTGTTGTTGTTCAAGGTGCCTTGTTAGCTCGTGCCTTAAGCAAGCATTGGTCCACCGCAAGTAAATGAGTTCTTTTGCTTCATCTGTCCGTTCCTTCTTCATCTGCTCCAATTCATCCTGAAGCTGTTTGTAATCTTCACTACTTACATCTCCAGCTTCAATCTGCAAATGGGAAACCTTGTAATCTTATAGTAATTAGGCTGCTGCTAATAACTACCCCTCCAAAGAAATAAAGGATTAGAAGTCCAACCTTTTTAATCATATGGTTGCCTATTTGTAAACTTTACACCCAACAATAAAATTAAACTCATAAGTAAATAAATAAACACACTACTACTATTCTCATTCGTTTAGATGATGTAAAAATCTCTTTAATTTTCAACGAGTGAATGATTTATTCATGCTATTCAGAAACATATACCAATACACCTAAAGAAGAAGAGGGGTGAATAAAGGATTTAATCCCCAAGCTGCAGTCATAAAGGATAATCCTTGCATGCAGCCATGCACCTTCCTAGTATCATTTCTAGCTAACAATTCAGTGAGTTTATATGTGTTTGTTGCTTACCTTAGACGCATATGATTTTTCTGCTGTGTCAAGCTTATTGAGAAGTTCTTTCTTCTCATCCTGCAATTGATCCAAAACCCTTTGCAGCACTCTTTTTTCATCCTCTAATTTATCGATAACATTAATTTTTGTTTCCAAGACATCATGGTTTCTCAAGATTTCTGCTTCTTCCGCTTTGATCTTGAAAGCCTGCTCCTTTGCCAAGTGGGTTTGTGCCTTTGATTTCCTCAGTAGCTTCTGAAGCTTCCTCTGAAGCATTCTATTCTCAGATTTCAAATACTCAATCTGTTCGATAACTCTCAAATATTGAACCACAAAATTCTCCAACCTCTTTTTCTCTGTCTCCATGGATGAAATCTCCCTATCCAAGAAGTCAACACGAGCAGTCTCCAGTGACAAAATGTTTTTGATCTCACCAAGAAGAGATTCTTGCTCTTTCAAATCACAATATTGATCAAACTGCAAACGTAAGGCCAATTCTCTCATTTGCATACCTTCAATCCGGCTTCTTAAGCCAGCAATCTCATGTTCTAAACATGGGTTGTCATGGATTACTGAGTTCCCATCAAGAACACTGGCATCCATGGGTGTAGTGTGTCCTTCATCTTCCATAGAAGCTAGGCTATGACTATGACAACTTTCTTCAAGTTGAGGCCCCAAGTGGGAATTGGTTTCAGGTGAATTTGCTTCATTTGGTGATAAAGAAGAGGCTTTAGAAAAGCTTTTCTTTGCCAGGATCCATGCATAGATGAAACCAGCCAAAGAGACAGCCAAAGGAACACCAGCTTTGAGGATTACTGGCTTTATGACCTCAGACTTTGATGATGCTGTGCTTTCCATCCTGAAGAAAAGTAAAGTTTCAGGGATTTGGTTTTTATTTTTTTTCTGTTAAAACCCAATTGAGAACACGACCAAAAATCTTAACTTGATCCTTGCTATATGCTATATAAGCATAGGTTTGAAAGAAGGTTTGCATAGTTTGCCTTTGGGTCATTGGCATTGCTTTTCCATTTTGTTTAGGGGAACAAGAACAATGATATAGCTTTTTGACTACACCAAGTACCGTCAACTCGCCCTACTCGTGCTCTTTGGAATCTAATTCTTTTGTGAGTTAATCAAGTTTCGGGGTTCTTTTCTTCCGTGGGATATCATACGTGTGATGTTACATTTTCTACATGGTCAAGGCTCTATCATAGCGGTATCCATTGGAAATTACCAATGTCGAGAAGTGCACTACTCAATGTTTATTGAATGGTGCGATTGTTTTAGATTTCTCCAATAAATATATATTCTAATTGTCAAATCCCGTGTACTTATGATAGAACACTTTTTTTTATTAAATTGTTAGTTTCGATTGAATAGAGTTTTTAAACTAAGTTTGTTATGGATTTAACGATGATGATCTGTAAGTGTAAAGAAGTTTACACTTGCATGTAATGATGCCTTGTTACATTGTTTATTTTTTACGTCCCGTCTAGTTATTAACATAATCAAACTCCTTTAATGAAGTGTATAACACAAAATTAGATGATAAAAGAATTTTATAGGGCATACTAATCCTTCATAAGAGATAATTGATGTATTTTTAAGGTAAATTTTTTACATTCTCATAAATTAATATATGTGTTCTAGCCTGCCCACTTTATAGGCCCAATGAGTTGGGTCCAGTCTTAAAGCTCACACCTAAAACCTTCTAGAGAACACCCATGATAAGACATAAAAGTTCATCACTTATGAATTTCCCTTCTTCCCCTACATTGCTGCCCTTGTATACTGACAATGGATTGAACATGCCTAGCCTTTCCTGACAGCTCAGCACTTTCTCTATCTCACGCTTGAGACGGACTTCACCACTCTAAATACCCCCCCCCCCCCCCCCCCCCATTCTCCCCTGGAAAGGACATCTTCTTCTCCATTCAACTAAAAAGTTGTTACTCTACATAAATGTGAATTCACCTTAGTCATTCACACACACTCTCCCTTTGATACACAGCATCATGGGAAGCTTCAGTAGTGCCTTAATCTTTATCATTGCTACTATGAATACCTCTAGATCGATATACTTTACTTTCCATGGAATACAGCTATGAACGACCAATGGTTCAATATGCACTGCCAAATTTCTCAAAAACGAATTTAAAGATTTATTGTAATTCGTAACATCATAATCGTTGATTAAAAGTAAAAATTCTTTTCATTTTATTTTTATGATGTGCAATGAATCTCAAAACTTTTTTAAAACGAGTCGTATATATATTATCAAACCATATTCTATATTCCTAAAAACGAGTGAAGAAAATTTCCATTAAAGTAATTAATATACAAGTATCCATATAAATTTGACATTCCGTAACACGTGCAAGAATTGTATTCAAATAGTTTTCTTGTTTAATAGAAGGTAAAATTATGCAATCTTAAAAGTCAAAGCCATTGAATTCCAATGTCAACTGGTTAGCTATGTTTGGTAATATAAAAGGGTTTAATATAGCAAACTGTATAACAACGAAAGAGGTTGTGAAAATTAAGTTCGTGTACATTTGTTGGGCTTATTAAAATCACTCGAAGAAAGAACAACTATAGACCGAAAATTCAAAAAACAAAAACTCTTTACCATATTATCTTAAAAAAGATATATCTAACCTTTCACCTTCTTATGTATTTTGTTACGGGATAGGATATTGTGACACCCAAGTTATGTTACACCCATGTGACACCCAGTCAATCTCACCGTTAGATCGCTTATGTTGATCCAACGGTTATATTTATTTTCATCTTTGTATGGTCATGATTTCCCAAATTTAAAGTGAAAGCATTAAATATGGGAAATCATAACCATACAAACGTAGAAATAAATATAAAATATTAAATTTGGGAAATCATAACCATACAAACGTAGAAATAAATATAAAATATTAAATTTGGGAAATCATGACCATACAAAGATGGAAATAAATATAACCGTTGGATCAACATAAGCGATCTAACGGTGAGATTGACTGGGTGTCACATGGGTGTAACATAACTTGGGTGTCACAATATCTTATCCCTTTTGTTACATTGAATATTAGTTCCATCCGCAACAACGTTTTAAGTTTAACTAATCACACCATTAAGCAAGGAAAGCCTAAAATCTAGACATAGAGAAGCTATTTACAATTTAACAATAATAGATGGTAATGCAGGAAAGTAATTGACACTTACAAGTTCCTAAATTTCAATAAAATATCATTAAGAGATTAAAGAGATTTTTTTGTGTTTATACTCTACAATACTACCTCCTCGCTTCAATGGTTTTTTTTTTTTTGATTGGATGAAATTAAGACATAAGAACTTTATTCACATAATTAAGAATAAAATGGGCGCAACCAAAAATTACCAAATACAGGAGAGGTGAACAGAACAGAGGCATGCCCTAATCTTCCTGTGCATTATTTATCAAAGCAGATATATCATTACATTTTACAACCAAAAAAATACTGACCACCGGAAGCAGATCAAGAAAGTTCAAATCCGGCATTTGAACTGATAGCATAAAGAAGCTTTGTTCTCAAAGTGCCTGGACGTTTGTATGTTGGAAGCTGTAAGCATTGAGAGGAGGAAAATAAAAGTGTAAATAATTGAAAAGTATGACAAGAGATTGCCTAAAAAAGCCAACACTTTTGTCTCAATAACTTAAGCCACCAAACAGATGTGTTTAGTAAGTGAATATATGATATTTTGGGGTTATGAGATAATGTAAACTTCAAGATCCCCATGTTCAATATGTCATAACTCCTAATCAACATCAGGATCTTGACTATCAAATATCTAATAGACAAATTCTAAACACCTAGTTCGTAGAAAATTTAAAAATACTTGGGAATGAAAGTCTATCATGCTAAAAGTCTCCCAAGTATATGGTTAAGGAAAGGATGTGTTCCCCTATTACTATATTTAGTACCTTAAGAGTATTGTAGCAGGTTGAAGCTGATGGAAGTCGCTCTACATCTTGTCCTCCAATTGTAGCCCAAAGAGGGACATCACACGCAACCTATGTAAGCAGACAGACCTGAGTGATGCTAATCAATGAAATCAAGATATTTAATTATGGGAAAAATGTTTCACCAGTTAATGCAGATAAGTTATCTGCATTTATTCCCAAAACGACGTCGTTTTGGTATTAAAATCTTAAAAAATTATAAATATAAAGACTATTATAACCCTGAAATAAATTAAAATTACAAAAACACTATGATTTCTGTCCCAAAACGACGTCGTATTAGCTTGCTGCAGATAACTTATCTGCAGATAACTTATCTGCAGTAACTGCAGAAAAAACGAACCTATTAATTATTCATTAGAATAATTTATTATTTATAGGGATTCTTCTAACTGCATTATTGGATCATGATATTTTGAGGAAAGAAAAAAAGGGGAGCTGGAGGAAAGTAGAATCCTAGGAAACAAAAAGCTGGCTACAAGAGACCATACATGTAATATTTTATTCCCTTTATTGGATCGCCGCATTCATAAAAAGAATGCCAAGATAACCATTGAAAAAGAATACCCCACCCAACAAGCAAAAGCAGTACTTGAGGAGGCCCTATTTGGTGTGGGTGATGTTGAACATCAAAGCCAGTGGACTGGCATATTCGCAAAAGAACCCCTTCTCTGAAGGGTAAGAAAAACAACTTTTGACTAAGGTGCCAGCTGATTGCTCCATATAAAAACAGAATTCATCATTTCATCTTATTAGGTTTTAGAACCAAGGAGTTCCTTACTTATATTTCCTATTACATAATTAGTAGAGTCTCAGAAAAAACAAATATGGACTTTTTAAATTTTCTCTCTGGCACCATAAAGTGAAAAAAAATTGTAGTGCTTTGGGCTAGAGTGGAGACATCTTGAAAGCTGTATTTAGTTGCAAGCATAGAATTTGAAAACAAGGTTCCAAAAAATGTACAATTTTTTCAATTCACAGCAAGCAATTAAAGCACTAAGCATCTAATAAAAAACTGCTTAGTGCATAAAGGCCCATCTAGGGCAACAAATTATTCCAGATAACTGATTAGAAGAGTTCAGGATGCTCTGCTTCTTAGCTCTATTGTTGTGCCTAATGTACTCTGCTAGAGTAAAATAAAAAATTAAAAAAAAATTACAAACCATGCCTAATTTCATTAAACAAAGCAAATGAGATGACATAGATGCTAGTATGAATGATTGTGAATGCTCACCAATCGTAGAAGATCAGGAACATACCTTGTGGATGGTAAAAGGTGGCTGCAAGTATTTGAACCCAAGTAATGGAGCACGAGAACAACTGGTGACAAATTTAAGAAGCATACAACGCTCTTTTGGTTCAAAACCTTTGATCACCTGTACAAAGTTGGCAGAAAGCATAAAATGAATATCGATGTCTTAAAATTGGCATCTGCACAAATAGCATGCATAAACTATCCCCTGGAAGGAAAACTTAATGCACTAAGATCCTTTATTTCTCTTACACACTGCCATCAGTTGAATGGAATTATAACCAACTTTAAGTCCAGCATATGGAAATATATTGAGATTAATAAAATAAAGGAAACAATTTTTCACATCAAGTCATTGATTCTTCCTAACGAGAAAAATCAACAGTTAAGAAGATATCTGCAAACTTTGCCAGATATGAGTTATATGATTATGAACGCAATGTACAAAACTAAGAGGTTTCATAAATATGAATGGAAGTACAATATTAGATCAGCTTAAATAATTTATGTTATGCATGGATTCATGTATTACCACTGAAAATGAATTACTTTATTTTTTACTGAAGACAAATATTCATAAAAGTCATATATATATATATATTAGGGTGCCAATACCTCCCAAAAAATCTTGATTGTCCGGCTTCCCTCATTGTAACCACCAGTGTATCGTGTGTTATTTTTCAAATCATCAACATCAATATCATAATTGCCACCTGAAAGCAACTGCATTCTTGTATATCTCAGAAATCTTGCTGTCAAAATAATCTCATCAAAAACAAATTTTTCAGAGCATGAGTTCTGACGAGTTTGCTGAAGTAGGTGAGTGAACAGTTGCATATTGATTCAGATACTATAACAAGGAATTTTTGGTTATTATGACAATCTTTTTCACAAATAAAAAACTACTTCAACAA